GAGGCAAAGTTGCTCTGCCCCAGGCTTCCTGGAATCAGCTGCTGATCAGTTTCAGCAGCAGCTGACTTGGGGACGCCTGGGGTTCTTAAGTTGAATCTGTATGTAAGTCAGAACTGGTGTCCAGATTCAGCAGCTGAATCTGGATGCCAGTTCCGACTTACATACAGATTCAACTTAAGAACAAACCTACAGTCCCTATCTTGTACGTAATCCGGGGACTGCCTGTATATCTTGTAAGTATTCCTTTCAAAGTAGTCTGTAGACTGATTCTAAACCAAATGCAAAGAAGAGCACAGGAAATCCCTTTGAGTCGCAAGCTGGCTTTAGATATGAACTTGCATACTTGGTTTTTTAAATAAAATCTTGGAGAGATGCAGAATTCAATTAACCTATGTTCTGGAGATTCATTGACTTTAAGAAAACATTTGATTTCATTAACAGAGAAAGCACACAAGTGGTATGATTTTAGCAGAACTATTCATCAAGACAGCTTATTTAAAATAAGAGCATTTTACATTTTACTACATTTACATTTTACTACAACTATGTATTTTCAAAGTCAAACAGTACTCAGGCAACAACTACCACCTCTGCACTGAGTAATTAATGATATTTAATTATCCTCTGGAATAGTATGCTTTCTGTCCTTAAGTCAGATGATGTTTAGTGGTCAAGAAGTGTCCAATCTGGAAGTGATATTACAAACGACGTATAGATATAAAAGGTTAAAAAAACAGCGTTTACTTCATTCTATAGAAAGAGCATGGGATAGTCTATAGATCATGAGAAAGGACATCAACATTCTGGGTTAATTGCTAGAACTGCAACTGACTTGCTGTACCCCAGTTTCCCGACTGTAAAACAATTGTTAGCCTGCTTCACAGGGATGTTATGATAACTAGAATTAAGAGTTTAGGACTCTCTTCAGTATCATCAAATAATATGCCCTTAAAGGAGAACAAATTATTGCTGAAAACTTGCACTGCCAGTTACACGGTATTCCATGGCCTTTGTTGTTAGATTGGCCAATAGGAAGATCCATTTTTAACTTCACTACCTCATTCTCAAATTTCCACTAGATTTGTATCCAATGTATATAAATTAATATTTAAGTATAGCTTCAATTTACACATGCAACGACATCCTGACACAAAATCCAAAACATACCAATCCAGGCAGAAGTCCTTGAACAGAATACGTAATAGTGTGAATAAGTCATGTTTTGGCGCTCTTTGTGAGATTGTATGCACCGGTGTTCAGCAGAATCTTCCCTTTCCAAGCAACCTGTTAAAAAGTAAGTAAATCAATACTACTGACACAGATAAGACAAATACAGGCCTCTCTTGAGGTGACTGTATTAAATGTTATGAATGTTATTTGAATGTTTGAGCCAACTTTGAAAGGATGAAAATGTCAAAGACCATTATATTGAGACGTGTCAGATGATACAAACCTACTGAATACCCATAGCCTTTTGTATCACTATATGTTACATGTATTGTGTATTCCTGGTCACTGGGGGAATCTGGAATGACTAGGTGGTGATTAATGCAAACTCATAGCCCAAATTATGCAGTCTTCAAAGTCTTACCTCCCAAGGAAAAGAGCACTAACAGGTTTTTACCTATTTTCAAGAGTCTGAAAGACAATGATCTGTGGGATTCAATAGCTGAGATTAAGCAGACTCAGGGGTCTTCTTTCTGATCTTTCCAAAGGAGCATGACCTTTCATCCAAAGCAACATCCCACCCTGTTGAAGGTTTAGAAAGACTGGAACCTGCCAGAGTCTACTGATGAGCATCTACTGGTATGATTAGTATGCACTGATACCTTGTATTTGTTTCACATGTTTTCACTATACATTTCTGCCCTTAATTAAATGTACTCTGCTAAGAAAGATTCGGACAGTCACTTATAATCTCTGGTAAACCGCTGACATTGTCCTTGAAGAAAAAGCAAAGTCCAGAGGCTGGATGCTAGTCAGACCTGATTGGAGAGAATCACAGTGAGTGCCAAGGGACTGTAGCCTAAAATATAAGTCTAAAACAGGGGTGGGTAATAATTTTCACAGGGGGGAGTCTTGTGAAATTTTGGTACGTGATCACGAGCTAAGTCCGGGCCTCTGGAAGGGGCAGGGCATCAGGCAAAAGGGGTGGGGCTGGAACTACAGAGAGAGAGACAGACAGACAGATATTTTGTGTGTGTGAGAGAGAGAGACTTTGTGACACAGATTGAGTATGTGTCGCAGTATGTATAGGACAGTGAATGTTTGTGTGGCACAGAGACAATGTGGCACAGACTGGGTGTGTGTGACAGTGACACAGAGTGTGTGTGCTGGCTAAGTTTCTGAGAAGACACACTCTGTCTCTCAGGGAAATATGTCCTGTTCTGTTGTCTCCCCACCCCCACTTCTTTAAATCACATGCTTCAGATTGGAGGAGCTCTGCTGTGTGTTTCTGTTTATGATGCTGAGATGGAGTACAGGAGCAAGGGAACACCCTGACTTCAGCACTTCCCTCTCCCCTCCGCCCCCTGCTCTGCACAGCTAGCAGGAGACTCCCAGAAACAGCTCTACTACAGGATGGAGTAAGGTAGGTCTGGTGGAAAGGCAACTAAACACAAGCTGGTGGCTGTAATTATGTACCTCCGGGCAAGCTGGAGAGAAATGCTTGGTGGGCTAGATGTGGTCCCCAGGACTCAGTTCGCCCAGCCCTGGTCTAAAAGAAGCAATATGGGTCCCTGCCTGGAATAGGGATGTTAAATATTGGTCAATTGAACAGTCAAGTAAACTCATACATTTTTATCAGTTATGTGATTATTCTATAGTGCCCAGAAGTGGTGCCTTCTCACATTGCCCCCTGACACTGTGTTACAGAGGCAGCAGTGTGGGGCGCCAGGTGGGAGCTGGTCAGTGAGGGGAGCCAGTTTAAAAACCAGCTCCCCTCATGGACCAGCTGCCTGTTGCTCCATGCTGCAGAGGCAGCAGTGCATGGCGGCAGAAGCCCATTGGGGTGAGTGGTTTGAGCTTCTGGACCTAGTGCGAGCTGGAACTGAGCAAGGCTGCCTGCCCTCCTGTCTCCAAATATACTTTAATGCAGAGCTACAGCAAGGGTAGGTACCAGACCTGTCGCAAGCCAGGATTGAGCCGGGCTGCTGGCCAGCCTGCTAAAAAATTTACTATCGGGGGGCAGGAGGAAAATGTATGTAGTCTATAGCAGTAACCTATTAGCTTTTGCTTATCTGTTAATTGACTACACTATTAGGGTATGTCTACACTAGCTCGTTAATTCCACAAGGAGTAACAGTTAATCCGAACTAAGGACTTAGTTCAGATTAACTTTAAACTGCTGCATGTAGCCGCGGGCAGTGCGTTCGGACTAAGGGGGATTTAAAAATGGCGGCCGGACGGGAACATGCAAATAAAGACCGGGATATTTAAATCCCGGGCTTCATTTGCTACCCCGGTTCCCTGATTTGCCTACCTAGCTCGAATTAACGAGCTAGTGTAGACATACCCTTACATACTTAGCCCAGAGAGGGGGACAGCTAGAGACCTCAAAGAACATTCTGGCCCTGGATATTGTTTAAAAGGCAGTTATTCTTAAACTGTAACAACTAATGTCTAAACACAAGGCAGAATGGCAGCAGTTTGCCCTTCCCAGTAAAACTGAAAAAGATACTTTTATGACTAGAAGTAGTTAACATTCTGTTAAGTATATTTTATGCCCTAGTTCAGCTGGGAATTTAAGCATGTATCCTAAGCTTAAGCACAAGAGTGTTCCAATTGACTTCAAAGCTAGGAACATGCTTAAAAACCTAGGGCTACGTCTATACCACCCAATCTTGCGCAAGAACATATGCAAATGAAAACAAGCGGCAGAACATCTCCTGCACAAGGGAAGTGTAGACTGCTCCTTTTTGCACAAAAATGACAGCACATAATGCATCATTTGCATACTTAAAGCTCATTAAGTATGCAAATGAGCCACAGTGATATTAATTGCCGTGCCTCATTTGCATATGTTCTTGCACAAGACTGGACAGTGTAGACGTAGCCTTACTATGTTAAGGGCCTAATCCAAAGTACTCTGAAATCAATGGAAAGAAACACTGTTTAAATAAACAGGCTGCTGTGGAATTTCATAAGGACAGGGAATAAAGTTTCCAGAAAGTAACACCAACACAACCATATTTGAGGAGTGAAAATTCCTCGACAGCTACAGTAATAGGAATGGACACTACAGGCAGTCCCCGGGTTACGTACAAGATAGGGACTGTAGGTTTGTTCTTAAGTTGAATTTGTATGTAAGTCGGAACTGGTACATATTGTAGGGGAAACTCTAGCCAAACATTTCTCCAGAGCTCAGTTTTATTCTCCCACACCTCACTTCCCTCAGCCCTTTATTCTCAAGCTGAAGTGTCTGCTGAGAAAAGCCGCTCCACCTCTCCCTGGTCTGCTGGGCGGGGGGAGGGGGACGCGCTAGCTTCGCATCTCCCTAGTCTGCTGGGGGGAAGTAGCTAGTGCGGGGGTGCCTCACCCCGGTTGT